TAAGAACACTCACCGAAAACTTCCGCAAACCCTCCGACGACGAGCGGCGGCGGCGGCGGCGGCGACGACTCCCGGCGACGGGCGACGGCGCCCAGCGCCGGGCGACGGCACCTGGAGAGGCCGGCGCGCGGCTTGCCCGCCGGCGCCGGGGCGGGCCGCCTGCCAGACGGTGCCGGCGTGGATCACGGACTGCCTGGGGGGCGCGGCGCGCGGGAGGGGAACGAAGTGAACCCCGCCTCCCCTCGACGAGGAGTAATCGTCGGGGGGCCAGAAATCCTCCTCCTCCTCCTCCTCCTCCTCCTCCTCCTCCTCCTCCTCCTCCTCCTCCTCCTCCTCCTCCACCTCCACCTCCTCCTCCTCCTCGTCGTGGGGGGTAAGACCCTGATTACCCCACCACCCGACGATTTCTGGTGAACCCTGACCCCCACCTCCTCGTCGAGGGGCGCGGCGCGCAGAAATCGAGGGGTGGTGGGGTAATCAGGGTCTTACCAGCCTGGAACATATCCCTATCCCTATGCTGGGCATCTCCTCATCACGATGCCAATCTTAGGGATTCCCTTATTTTTCGAGGGCGCATCCCTAAGAGTGTCATCGTTTTTTGGCGTGTCAATCTTAGGGATAGGGATAAGTTCGAGGCTGGTAAGGGTTCGCATGCGGCCACCGATGCGGGGATGGCTCTTTTGTTGCGAGGAGGGCTGCCCTCCAAACAGGCGGGGGCGGTTTTTGCGAGGGGGGCGGCTGTTTGGCGAGGAAGGTGGCCTCGTAAAAATCGGCGGCGAGCCCTGGAGGAAGCCTTACCAGGCTCGGGTTCCGCGGTTTCCGGTTCTTTTCGTAGGCTCTTAACGTTTTTCCATCCTCGGGATGCTTTCCAGCGGCTGCGCCTCGCCGAGAGCGTTTAAAGGGTGCCCGGATCGTTTCGAACGGCCGCGGGAGAGCCGAGTTACAGCAAAAACCACCAGGCGTCCGAGCAAGGGTGGGCCTTCTCAGAAGGCTCGGAACTCCCGCGGCCTTCTGAACAATTGTTTGGCCTCCCCGGATAACCCGCAAAGGCTCTCAGAAGGCGCGAGGGCTTCTGAGAAGTCCCGCCGCCTTCTGAGAAGACCTTCTCCTTTTCACTTGCCCCCCTCGCTCGCCGCCGAAGAAAGGCGGAGATTCTTGCGAGGGGGGCGGCATTTGCAAGGGTGGCGCGTACAAAGTTCCGATTGACGCTTGCGGACCACAGGGTCTGCGAAAACTGTGGGTGGTTTTCGCGGCGATCAGGCCACAGCGACCCGTGCGCACGGAATCAAGGCGGAGGAGGAGGAGGCGGAGGAGGCGGAGGAGGAGGAGGAGGAGGGAGGAGGAGGAGGGAGGTGGGAGGAGGAGGATGGGAGGAGGAGGAGGAGGAGGGGAGGAGGAGGAGGGAGGGAGGAGGAGGAGGAGGAGTGGAGGAGGAGGGAGGCGGGAGGGAGGTGGGAGGAGAGGAGGGAGGAGGAGGAGAGAGAGGTGGGAGGGAGGTGTGGGTGCTTCTCGCGGCGATCACACCGCAGCGCACCAGAGCATCCATGAACGCAGGAAGAATCAGGTCAGGCCACCCCGTGCGCACGGAGGCGGGCCCCCCTGGGGGCCGCGAGGGGATCCTCCTCCTCCTCCTCCTCCTCCTCCTCCTCCTCCTCTCCTCCTCCTCCCCTCCTCCTCCTCCTCCTCCTCCCTCCTTCCTCCCCTCTCCTCCTCCCTCCATCCTCACTCCTCCTCCTCCTCCTCCTCCTCTCTCCTCCTCCTCCTCCTCCTCCTCCTCCTCCTCCTCCTCCTCCTCCTCCTCCTCATCCTACCTCTCCTCCTCCTCCTCCTCCTCCTCCTCCTCCCGTTCCTCCTCCTCCTAAGCAGGCAGGCAACGCATCTGCCCCTTCAAGTGCAGAACTCCCAACAGTCATCAGCCAGAGCTGCCCGTGCTACACAGTCTTGCGCGGCCTGCTGCCACGGTCCACTGGCCATCGCTCGGACGTCCATCCCCTGTGTTTTGCTCGGTTTCGTGCGTGGCTTTTTCGCCAAATGATCAAGGATGCTCCTCGATGGTCCTCGCCGAAGGAAAAATGCACACGTCCGAGCGATGCCACGGTCACTGCCTGCTCCCCGGAAGCACCGCCACCCGTCATCGCCGTCGCCCTCCGGCACCTCCTCTGGCACCTCCTCCTGTACATCCTCCTGCACCTCCTCCTGTCCCCCTCCTCCTCCTCCTCCTCCTCCTCCCTCCTCCTCCTCCTCCTGCACTCTCCTCATTCTCCGCCTCCTCCCGTCCTCCGCCTCACCATCATACTCCTCCTCCTCCTCCTCCTCCTGCAACCTCCGCCTCCTCCTCCTCCTCCTCCGCATCCCTACTCCTCCTCTTCCTCATGCACCTCCTCCCTCCTCCGCCTCCTCCTCCTCCTCCTCCTCCTCCTCCTCCTCCTCCTCCGCGCGGCAGAAGGAAATCAACCTCGCCTCCCACGTCAGAGCACGACGGCCTTGCGAGCGTGAGCCCCGCGGCGCCCAGCGCACAGCTCCCTTCCGCCACCGCTCCGGGGGGCAACCGCGCAGCGCATCCCTGCAAGCTCCCGGCACCTCTTCAAGAATTCCTTAGACCATGTCCAGATGCCATGTTCAGGAGGAGGAGGAGGAGGAGGAGGAGGAGGAGGAGGAGGGGGAGGAGGAGGAGGGGGAGGGGAGAGGGAGAGAGGAGGAGGAGGAGGAGGGAGGCGGAGGAGGAGGAGGAGAAGGAGGAGGAGGAGGCGGAGGAGGAGGATATTTTGTCGCGACGCACATACAAGGTGTCGTGCCGCGGCTGCGACCAACGCCAGCAGTGGCGCGAACGACCTGCCGCAACAGCCGCCCGAACTCAACATCTGCCCTGTGTAGTGACTCGATGCACGGCTCCCGGACGCCTGCCCCGAAACCAGCCTCTGACGTTACGACGCGGACGAAGAGCTCAAGCCCCGAAGCGAGGGAAGAATAAACCTAAAAAGCGGGGGGGGGTCGGAAAAGGGCCTCCATTCCGAGGTCGCTTCATATGGGGGGGGGTAGAAGCGGGCACCTTTCCTGCTCCTTCTGGGCCCCAGAAGGGGCCTTTTGCACCCTTCTTCACCCCTCCATGCATCAAACCCCATCAGGGGACCTGGGACATACAAATAAATACGCGCAAGTAGCAGGATCCCCCATATTTTCCCATATCTTATTGGTTTTTTGTCTCCCCCCCACTTCCCATATCTTCTGGGGAATCGACGATTCACTGTGTCTGCGTGTTTTTTGTCCCTCCCGATGCCCGACGCCCGATCCACGAGGGCGTCTTGGAAGCCGGGAGGGCTGCTGCCGGACCCACGCGGACACGGATCAGGGACCCGTGGGCCCGGCGCACGGGCGCCGGATCCGTGGATCGGGGACGGCACCCCCGAGAAACGAAGCCAGCGCTAGGTCGGGCCTGTCCCCCTACAGGGGGATTTTCGGCGAAAAATAAGAAATACCCCCCCAAAAAAAAAATCAAAAAATAATCCAAAAATGGTCCGGGGACTATGTTTTGAGTAGTTGTTGGCCTTTGGGGGGTATTTTGGGGGTATTTTTGGTTTTTCGTGGAAAATCCCCCTGTAGTGGGACACGCCCGACAGAAAGCCAGCGCCGCCTCACCCCTCCTCTGGCGACGGGGCGCGCCCATGACGCATGGCAACTGTTTTGCTCGCGAGCGCGCAGAAATGACAGGCGCCGTCGAGAAACGCGGCTCACTTTTTTACTAGCTCGAGAGGTCGTCCCGCGGCAAAGGAGGAAGAGGAGAGCAGAAGGGGGAGGGGGGAGAGGAAGGGAGGAAGCAGCAGCAGAAGCAGCAGCAAACGCAGAAGGAGGCGCGCCCGCCCGCGCACGGACCGGCGGGCCCCCGCCTCAGCCGGGCTGCGGCTTTGCGCAGCCCGGCGCCGCGCCCCCGCGGCTAGGCCTAAAGTCCGCAACGGCCTAAAGTCCGCAAAAGAGCGCGCACGACGCACGGAAGCTTCTTTGGTCGGCAGCCGCGAGCGAGCGCGCAACAGCGGCGTGCCAGAGGCCAGGCGGGCCGCGCAAAGGGGCGAAGCGACCAGGCAGAAGCAGGCCGAGCACCGGCACTCAGAACGGGACCAGGAAGCCACCGATGAGGACCCAGACCCCCGACGTCGTGATTTTGTTCACAACGTCGACCCCCAGAGGTCTGGACCCCTTCCCTGGGACCAGCTCTTCGTCCTGAGTCGCTTTTTGACGCTCCCGAGGCCCGGTGAGGGCCCCCGGAGGCCGAAAAGAGCGAAAAACCTCCCGTCGTGATTTTTGTCGCGACGCCAGGAGGTCTGGGGAGGCGGGGCTGCAATACGGCCCGGCGGCGCGACCCGTCACCAACCGAGGAGCCCCCGCCGCGCCGAGGAGCCCCCGCCGCGCGGGGGCGACCGGAGGCGGCCGCGGCAGCGCCTGCTGCCGGCGCCCCAGACAGGGGCCGCGTGTCGACCCTCCACGCCGCGCAGGGGTGGGGCAGCGGGGGGGGGAGAGGAGGCGGAGGAGGCGGAGGAGGAGGCGGAGGAGGCGGAGGAGGCGGAGGAGGAGGAGGCGGAGGAGGAGGAGGCGGAGGAGGCGGAGGAGGAGGAGGAGGCGGAGGAGGAGGAGGCGGAGGAGGAAGC